GGATTTTCAAGATTTTTTAAAGAGTCCATTAAAATCCATTGGTATTCATTTGAGATTTTTTACAACTTAAAAACAATCCATTGGTATTCAAAAATATAAGGATTTTAAAGGATTGTTGTGTGAGAGGGATTTTGAAGGACTTTCTAGTGTTATTTATAAATACCAAATTCATAAAACAATCCCATCCAAACCCATCGGATTTTGAAAGATTGTTTGAAGTGACTTTTCAAGAATTTTCAAGTGAGTTTTTTCCATCAACTGTGTTGGCCCAGCCTATAGCGACACTGATGTTGCTCATTCCAGCCCAACCAAACCAAAAAAAAAAAAAGTCATGTGTCAATTGTGTCGCTATGGCTCATAGCGACACCGTAAAAAATAGTCCTAAAGGTATAATATATTTTAAAACAGCCCCATTTTAGTATATAGTTTCTAAAACTGTACCAAAATGGTCGTTTAGCCCAATTATAGTTCTCAATCATTAATTTAAAAATTCAAGAACTCGACAGAAAGAATCGCATAGAGTTGCTTCTGAGGAAGGAGGTTCAAGATCGGTCAATTTAATGTGACTCTAGGGAATCACTTGTTCAACAACTTAATATTTTTTTGTTTAATAATACAACTTATTCTTATGAAACTTCAGCAATGGTTATCACGACTATTACCCTTCAAGTTTCAACAATGATATCCCTTGATATACGAAGAAATTTTCGGTACTAGTGTAGTAGTGTCTGTTCCCTTAAATAAGCACTGCAATAACTAAAATAAATAATAAAATTTTAAAATAACAATCCAAAGAAGATTTTGGCAACTGCTGATGATCATGTCATGTGATTTAATGGAATATCACCATGAGTGACCACCGTGACAGAGAAAGAGACACCAGTGCTTTGTCAGGTTGAAAAAAAGTTTAGAGTAAAAATAAGAAATAAGCGAGGATGAGTGAAAAATGAAACGCTTAAATATGATTTTGTCATTTAAATTAAGTTAAATTTATTTTTAGGGTCTCAAATTTAAAATGTCTTTTTAATTTTTATAATATCTAAAAATTTTATTTTAATTCTTATACTTAAATTTTATTAAAAAATTTATCAAATATTATCATATAAATTTTATATATCAATGTATATATTATTTAAAATATTACATTAAACTTTGTTAATATTATATGATTATCTTAATCTGTCACTTTTATATATGTTAATTGTTGATGACTTGAAAAACTAAAACATGATTTTTAAAAATTTAATAGACTAAAAATACTATTTTTAAATTTATGGGACTAAAAGAAATATATATCCTAATGCGCTCTGGTCTTTCATACAGTCTTATGTAGTCCATGCATATAATAATAGTTTTATGGTTATCATATTTTTTTAGTATTTATAGTTTCACTTGTTTCATCTTTTAATCTCTATAATTTGAAATAAACATTTTAAGTTCCTATAATTTAAGCTAGATCTTTTAAGTCATTATATTTGTAGTTTTTTTTAGTTCTTTTAGTCTTTATTGTTAAGTTTTTTTAACATTTATTTTGTATTATCATGATAGAGATGTTCAATTTTGTAAAAATAAAAAAAATGTCTAAAAAATAGGTGTTGTAAGTTATGGTACAAAAGAAACACGAAACATTAAAAAATTTAATCTAAAGTAACTCCAACAAAAATAGATTTGACATTAACCATGAAAGCTGAATTAATACTCTGTCACGTCAATTAAAAAAAAGTAATATTATAAAAAAATTAATGACGGAGTCTAAAAAGATAAAAAAAAAATTGCATGTATAAGGATTAAAAAAAGTTATTTAAAGCATCTCGCATTCTCTAATTGTTAGCCACTAAAACATATTTAATTTCAATTGATTTTATCATTTATTTTAGTTTGATTTAAAAAAAAAATAGATGAAACACGAAATATGTTTTTACATTAATATATATATATATATATATTAAAATAAGTAAATAAATAATTATTTAAAATTATTCATATTTTCTAATCATAATCATTCGCATATATTTAATTTTAATTATTATTATCATTTATTTAAAAAAACGCGTAAGTACAAAGTACCATTTTCTCTTTAATATATATAATTTAAAGCAAAAGAATAAGAACATTATTTTAATTTTAATGGGTCCTAATAATTAATTAGGTAAGTAATTATTAACCCATTAAACTAATTTAATTAAATTATTAAAGGAGGATCACACGTGCCTATGACCCTATTTGTTTTCCGGCGTATAATTAAGAAAGAGGCAAATTTGCAATCTCTTAGTTCCATTTCTTAGCATCCTAGGAAAAAAAGAATTTTTGTGGGAGAATCAAACATTTTTATTCTCTTATCGCCATTTGTTTTTACCAAAGGGTTGATGGGACGTCACTTTGTTTGCTCTCTCGTTAACTCTTTTGCTTAAACAAGCAGACCGTAAAAGTGTCCAATTTGAAAAAGCGTTGGATTTTTTAATATAAATGGATAACAGGGAGTTATGAATAAATATCAAGAATAAAGATGAAAAAGAAATACTAATATTTAATTAAGAGTTGAAAAGTTGAAACATATACTCGCAAATCATATTTTAAAGAAATGCTATACAAGTTATTAAAACAAAACTCTTAAACAAATACATGTCTTTTTCTTAAATAAATTTTATTTAGTTAAAAAATATTAACAAACACACCCTTAATCACAAGGCCATTCACCCTTCCCAATGGGCAGAAGTTGATCGTGTGCTTATACAGTGTTTACTGTTTAGTGCTAATCACAACAGATTCTTCACATCATCCCTATTAAGTCTAAAATTATTAAAACCAATTATTATTAAAAGCCAAAATGCAAAAATAACATGTTCCTTCTCATCACTAATCTCCTTTATTTCCTTTTAATGCAACAACGCTTGTAGTATCCATGTAATTCAAATGTGTTAAAATTACTTCAGATAGTTCAATTAAATTCATCACTCGAGCGTCAACACAATAGATTGAGTCAGTGTTCGAAGTAGCAAAGAGGATACATACGTTGTCTAAAACAGGAGATGTTAGACCAAAAAAGCATGCTATATGCCATGCGTGGACAAAGGTTACATACACATTACTGTAAAGTCCAAAATTTAACCAGCCGTAATTTGTTACAGTAGATAGAGGTAACGCTGTAGTAGTAGCCAGTAGCCAGTAGCCACATCAGTTATCTCAGTAACTAACTAACGGTGTACAAGTCACAGGTGCGACGCACGCATGAAAAGCTCGTAATTGTCAACGGCAGAAGTGGGGACAGCCACCATGACCTTGACACTCACACACTCATCCCTCACCGGCAAAAACAAACAGTACCTATCGCAGCACACGGGTCCCACGTGAACCGGCTTCCCCAAACCCACGTCAACGTTCTCCAACCCCAGCCTCGACCACTGCGACAGTATCAACACCCCCACAGGGTCAGGACACGCTTTCCTCTCCCACACCCACTCGATCACGCCCCGCACGTGTTCGTTCCCCACCCTCTCCTTCGCCCGCTTCACCAGACCCGACCCGTACCCGATGCCCCTCTCCTCCAACTCCTTCGCACTCGTCTCCGCGCACCCCAAAACAAACGCGTTCCCATAATACCCCTCTCCCAAACACGGCCGAACATGCTTCCGCACGTTTACACTAAACACCAGCTTCAAAACCTGGTTCCCCGGAAACTTCAGCGCCCTCGCCCAGCTTCTCCACACGTGCGCCGCCAGCACCTCGAACGACGTGAAACGCACCGACTCCCCGGGTTCACTCGTGCAACCAGCCAACCTCTTCAGCTCGCTCAGCCTCCTCTTGTCGAAAGTAACCGAGGTTGGTCTAAGCCCGGTCGAGACTTTCTTCATGAACCCGCCGCACAAATCCGGAACTCGCTCAAACTCGGGGTGACTCGCCGGGTCAACCCGCGTCTGCTTCCCACGCGTCGGGTTCAGAAGGTGACGCTCCCAAACAGGTTTAGGTACTTTCGACCACCACTCGCTTTTCCCGTTAGCTAACTCCGCCAAGTAGTTTAGAAACTCCGCGCTTCCGATCCCGTCGCAGAGGCAGTGGTTGATCCCGACGCCGAGGGCGGCGCCTCCGCCGCCTAGCCACGTGAGCTGCACCACCAGCGGCGGCGATCCCTTGAGAACATCCGCCACGTGGAGCGACAGCAGCGCCCTCCAGTGTGTAACCGTTTTGGGAGCTTTCTCGAAGTCGTTGGCGGTGTAACGCTCAGCGGAAGCTTCTATGAAGACGGCGCCTTGGGCTGCGCACACCACCTCGAGGCCCGGCCCGTCGGGAGTGGGCCTGACCCGGCCCGCGAAGGGGTAGTAGGGAACCAGTGCTCTGGCTAATGCTTGTTTCAAACAGGCCGTGGTGGCGGCCCGGTCCACGCTGGAGCGAGGCTCGTAGACGAAGAGATACTCTATGGTGAAACGAAGGAAGAGTTGCGAATCGAGAGCGGATAGAGCCAACACACTTGATGGTGTGGGCTCGCAAGGTGTTACCACCGATGCTTCTTTCACACGCACGGAACTTCCCATGTGTTCGATGATCAATATTTTTTGGGCTCAGAATTTTCCAACTTGGGCTTTCAGTTTAAGAGGGTGGCGTTGAGGTGCATGCGCTTTATAGAGGCCTGATTCACAACAAGTGTGAAGACGAGTACAAGTGAAGCTACATTTACATATGAGATGATATATATATTTTTATAAATTATAAGGAAATTGTTTATCACATTCTTCAATTTAAAAATTATTATTTTTATTTATATAGGTAATTTAATATAATGTTAAAGAATTCCATTATTATTAGAGATGGTGTTGGTGTAGAGACTAGAGACTAGAGAGTGTCTTTGATGGATTTATTTAAGGTGGCAAGATTCTCCGGGAATCGCTTTATGGAAGAAAATGAATATGAAAACAAATGTAGTACACTGTAGAACAGATGTGCCCTCTTTGCTTTTCTGTCTGTTGGATTGGACTGATAGCTATTACTCCCTCCATCTCAATCACCTCCATGAATATGTAATTAGTTTTCAAAAAAAAAAAGACTAATTGCATGGCTTTTACATTGGTTATTGTAGATGTAGGGCATCAGATTAGAGTCAAGATTTTGATTCACATACACAAAAAAATTCTGTATCTTAGTGGTGTGTTGTCGTGTTTGTAAACTGTGAATTTGTGATGAGGTTGACGTGAGTCGTTGCTTCACCGGCCTGTCTGTCATTCTGTCCAGTTTGTGTCCCCATAGACTAGCTATTACCTGGCAGAATTTTTGTGAACCAAAAATTAAAATATTAAAATGCAATAGGTGAAAAGCAAAATCTGGAAGGATAGGCACGGATAAAAGTTTAAAGCGTTTCCCATATCAACACATCATGTTAGGTTCGGTTATTATTCATGGAGTCATAGTCATAATTAAATTTCATTTTGATGCCTTTTAAATTTAACACACAAAGATATATCTTGTTAAAATAAAATATTTTTTAAGAGAATTTGCTGGTTACTTCTTTATAAACTCTAATAGAACTTAAACTCAGTATAATGTGTTGACTAATTTGCCTTCGTGTTGCATAATTCTAACGCTAACCACGAAATCAGACAAATGATAGTTGCATGGATCCACATAATTGATAACTTAAGGAGTGGGGTCTTGGGATGGTTTTTATCTTTATCTCTTCCAAAAAAAATATATGTTTTTTAAGTTGCTACCATACATATGGAGAGTGAACTAATCAAAATTTGAAAATTCTAATTTAATTATAAAATAAAAATTTAAATTATTTTTATATAATAAAATATAGGACCAAATTATAGAGATTAAAATTATAAAATTATTATAATTTTTTTAAATTAATAAATAATAGAAGTGAAAAATTCATTTACACCATAGAAATTATAAAATTTAAGGGAAAAAAACAAAAATATGTTAAAAATTTATTAAAACTAAACTATTTTAAGTATAGAATGATATATATACTATTACAAAAGAAATTAAAGCATATATAAAATACAGATAGAATGACTAAATAATTTAGAAATAAAATAGAAGAATAAAATGTTCAAAAATATATTATTCAAATATATGAAAATATCATATAAATAAATTATTAAAAAGAACAAATTTAAAATGAAATTAGAATTCTAACTGTACCGAACTCACTCAATTAAAAAGGTACCATTGAATTTTCCTTTTTATTTTGCTATCTTTCGTTTGAGATATTCGAAGGATTCAAATATATGTGGTTAGGACTTATTAGGATATTGCACCACCTTTGGAAAGAAATTCTCTATGCAAATATTGCTGGTGAAGTTTTCTGCATCCGAAAAGGGCCAAGAATGACAAGTAACCACTTGTAAGGATTTCTATCCGCGCAGCTTGGACGCACATCAATAAAATAATAAATAGTTGGTGTTGCATCAATTTTGACGTGATTATGGTTGAGATGAATATTTGATATGATGAATCAAACCGGTAAACATTATCTCTAATTTTTTTATTCTCTTTATTTCTTTCATTACTAAAATTTTAAAAATATAAGTATGATTTTTTTTCTGAAATATGCATTAATTCCATTCTATTGATCTTTAAAAAAAATTAGGAAATGAAAGAATAGAGAAAAAAATTAAATCGAGAGGATTCATTTTCCAATCAAACATGTATTAACAATACTTTTGGATTATCTCAAAATTGATTATATATTTAGGCTGAGTGTCCCTGCATTAACCCTATACTTAATAGAAGAGAAGGAATTGAAGGGAATATATAAAAATTAATTAGATAAGAAATATGTATGAAATATAGTAAAATAGAATGAAATTCGTTAGAGTCAAATTATTTGTGAATTAGTGAAATTTATAATTGAAAAATTATATTTTATATAGTTAAAATTTTATAAAATAATTTATTTAAACAATTTTTATTAAATAAATATAATAACTATTATTTTTTTAATTTATTATTAAATTTTAAATTATATATCCAAAATGAATATGAATATAGGGTTTAGCTAGAGTCAGTATATATAACATATTTGGGGTTTATGGTTTATATAACATGTCGATGAATGAATATAGTTTGAAACAATAAATTTTACATAAATCTTGTTTTCTTTATATAAAATTTTTTTCATGTATTTTCCACCAAATTTTTACGTAAATTTCTTCAAATCATCTCTACCAATTAGAGATTCTACGTTACAAATCTTAACAATTCGATACTTTTCTCATCTATTCCCTCCAAATTCTCATCTACCAAGTAGGGGTTAAGTATCATCGTAATAAGTATTTGAAAGAATTTTTAAATTAATAAAATAATTTCATAGTTGCCTATAAATGAAAATAAGGAAGAGAATATGTCCTAATAATTGATAAGTAATATAAAATTTACAAGTAAGGTTTAAAGAATATGTTTTTATTCTCATAAAATATATTTAAGTTTTGTTTTTTATTTTTATTTGATACCGAAATTAATCTTTCTCAAGACTTTAACTACATTAAATTTATCCCTTTTAGTATTATTTTTTATTATTAAACATAAGATTCAAACTAAAAAATTGAGACTTAAGTTAAATTAATAAATATAGATATATCTCTAAAAAAATATAGATATATAACTTTTGATTTTAATCCTTATTAAAAAAAATTCTTTCTTTTCATTTTTCTAAAAATTTTAAACATTTTTTTATTATCCTCTAATCATTCTTAACTATCTAAAAGTATAAAACTAAAATATCATTTTATCATTCTTAATCAAATATAATAACCAATAATTCATATTATATTATA